CCATATCTCGGGGTTTTTTTAATCATGTTCCTCCCAAGGGCAGCCTGCTCTCCCCGTTGGGGCGGCGGGGGGGCGCAGTGGACCTCTTGAATTTGGCCACCCTCCCTTGCCCTCTGCCGCTTCTGGGTGCTCTCCCTGCCGAACCTCTTGCCGCCGACACCGAGGTGACTTGGCTTAATCCCAAAGTAGAAGTGGACCTGGGTGCCCGGGAGCGTGCGAGGGAGTGTGCGCGTGTGCGTTTCTTGCACAGACGGTTCCCAGCGTTTGGCTTCGGTCTTGGTGGGCGTGAGGTGAAGCCAGGACAAATGGCCGCGGGACGGGCGGTTGGCTCTCAGGCTTTGTGGTGGTGGCCTCTTTGCCCATTGACTGACCTCTCACGGCGGTGTGCTTTTTCTTCCCTTCGGTCATGGCGTCCTCCTCGTTCTCCTCCACTGTTTTCCTCTTTGATTAATCCAGATTTTTGGACTTGTAACTAAATGCGCTCTTTGAGGCTTTTTCTGTTTCCTTCGTGTTGGTTCCATGTAAGCAGCAATGCAATGGGACCCCCCACACACAAGCCATTTCTTGAAATGCTTGGCCGATTAGGAAACGGGGGGAGTCTCCCAAAACGTACGCTTCCCAGGCCAGAGTCAACCAATGCTCCCCTGTCTGTCTGCGGCCAGAATTCAAAAGGCAAGCTGCTTGCAGTGGAGAAGGCAGGGTTCTCTGGAAAAGACAGGAACGCTGGGGAAGAAGGTAGAAGGCAACGGGGAAAGAGGAAAACCAAATGTGAAACAGACTGGCTCCTTAAAGGAAGCCACTGGCTTGGGTCTGCCTGAGCTAAAGAGGGCTGTTGAGGACAGGATAGATTGTGCAGATCATTCACTCATAGAGTCGCCCCAAGTTGGAGGTGACTTGACGGCCCATAACAACAAGAACGTGTGGTCAGAGGCTTTGCTTGGTATTGCATTCGCTTTTCGGGCTTTCCTCCTATGGATGATGCTCTCTAAGGACGTGTCAGGAAGATCCCCGTGGCAAAGGGGAAGCCTCGGCCCCGAAACCTGGCTGTTTTTAACTCAACGTGTGACCGTTGCTCTGCAGATGGTGCTGGCCTGCATCTCCCATCATCCTTCATCATTTATTATCCTGGCTAAAGCTGCTGGGACTTTTGATCCGGCAACATCAGCAAGGACCCACTTGCCTGCCTCTGTTTTAACTTCAAAGGAGAAGCCCCACTCCTTTGCCACACGGTCACACTTGAATCCAAATGGCTCGCGACTCCAAGTGAAGGTTGCGTGTTTCAAAACTTGTCTTCCTGGTTTCTTTTTACCCAGGACTTCTTCCTTCCTTCCATCCATCCATCCATCCATCCATCCATCCATCCATCCATCCATCCATCCATCCTTAGCTCGCTTCCATCCATCCATCCTTAGCACCCTTCCTTCCTTCCTTCCTTCCTTCCTTCCTTCCTTCCTTCCTTCCTTCCTTCCATCATTAGCTCCTTCCTTCCATCCATCCATCCATCATTAACTCCTCCTTTTATCCTTCCTTCCTTCCTTCCATCCTTCCTTACTTATTTCCATCCATCATTAGCAACTTCCTTCCATCCATCCATCCATCCATCTTTCTTTCCATCCATCCTTAGCTTCCTTCCTTCCTTCCTTCCTTCCTCGCACTGCATTCATGCGACCCAAACTATTCCTGCAGGACTGGCCCTTTCATTAGGCCCAATGAGACAGTCACCTCATGCAGTGGAGTGCAGGGAGCAGAGAATCCTTCCTTCCTTCCTTGTTTTCTGCACCACATTCGATCCCTGCCCAAGGCTCAGACTGGCCTTGGTTGTCTGGGGCAAAGGACCACCTCCCAGATGTGGTTGGACTATCATCCCCATGAGGCCAGACAGCAGAGCCAGTAGTGAGGAATGCTGGGAGTTGCAGTCCAGAACCTGGCGGGGAGGAGCTTTAGTGTAACCACTCTTCCTGTCGTGGATGATAATTTACAACCATTTATCCATTTTAAAAAGAAAAGTTTAACATTAATAATTTTAAGAGAACTTCCTGCAGTTGAGTTTTCTGCATCTGAACTAAAGGGTTTCTCTGGCATCATGAACAACTCTTGTTATCGTTATCGTTAGCCGAAGTAAGCCGATTCCTTCTCTTGCCGTTGTGCCTTTTGATGCAAATCTGATAACAAAGGTCCAGCCCATGGTTTGTAACAATAGCAACTCCTAGAATGAATGAGAGCAGATGGAGAATCCTGGGTTTGAGGTCAGGCCGAAATAGGAGTGGGTTGGATCGCTTGCAACAGCCCAGTGTACATAAGTTTCCTCGAACGAGGAAAAAAAGCTAATTGAATAGCCGCCAAAGGGGAGCCCATCAGCAGAAGGACAAACCCAAATCCGTTTCATGGCAAGGCCAGTAAAAGGGTTGCCGGAGATCAGGAGGCTGAAGCTCCCAGGCTTTCGGGGCGATGGCTCGTAGGGGCGAGCGGGGCTGGAGGAGGTGAACGTTTGACTTCACTCTGCCTGGTGGCTTTAAAAGGGCCCCCTGTCCCCCCCACCCCCAACGGATGCCAGAGGTCCCTGACTGAGCACACATGCGTTTCCACGCCGTTTGCACAAACAACACTGGTTCAGGCGATTGTGCAGGAAATATATATCCAGTATTGTCTATCTCACTCAAGCAGACAGTCTCGCACCCCTGTGAGTGTGTGGTGGTTTCCAAAGGGCCAACTGGTTGCCCAGTTTTTATATATAAATTAATAAAGTTCCATGTGGGGCTTTTAACCCAGACCATCTGTTCCGGAGTGACTTTTCCTGCAGGGACCCTCGGGCCTTAAAGGCTTGCCTTGGAATGGTTCCACTGATGTTTCAGACGGGTTTGACTCTGGGGCAAAAGCATCGCTTCCTTTTTTTCTATCCCTTGGACAAGCTTCTGCCCCCGTCATGCTGGCACCCCAGACCAGGCCAGTGTGCAAGGGGGATCCGAGAAGGGAACGCGCGAGGGACTTGGCCTGTGGCTTGCCCACTCCACAGCGTCGTGGCCTCAGACACCGACGCTCATAGCCCTGGAGGCTTAAGCTTCCCTGTCTGCACAATGAAGTGATCTGAGGACACTCAAATCACATTCTGTTGCGTCCTGCTGTTGTTAAGAAGTGTCCTGACCTTCAGCGGGATGAACAGCCGGCCCGGGATCACCAATTCCTGGCAGGGCGAAACCCGTCCCAAACTAGCCTTGTGCATCCTTCGTAATTTGGTTCAAAGATTCGTCCTCTGAAGCCAATGTTTTTCTGGAGGGGGCTTTCTGGCTTTTTAAATCTGGGGCGCGGGGGGGGTGTTTATGCAAAAACGAGGAGGTGCCTGTTTCTCCAGGAGCGTGGTTGAGCACTGGAGGCCTCGGTGATCCACCGCCTTGACGCCCACCCTCCCAAATGGAGAACAGGAGCAAGAAGACACAACGCA